CGGAGATGTTCCTTGACAGGTTTTACTTTTGAGTCGACTCTTAGGCGGTGCTCAGCCAGCTCCCTGGGAACACCCGGCATGTCAGAAGGCTTCCATGCAAAAATGTCCTAGTTCTCACGGAGAAACTGGATGAGCGCTTCTTCCTATTTGGAGTCGAGTGTTGTCGAGATATGAGTTGGAGCAGCGCTAGGGTCGGTCGGGTGGATGTGAGCTGTCTTCGTATCGCCAGTCGACTGAAAAGCTGATTCTGTAGCAGGCCTCTTGGCTCGCAACAAATCACTCGGGTCTGCAGTCTTCTAGTATTCCTGCAACTCCACCACTGCCATCTGAGCATCGGCGATCTTCGAACCTTTCTGAAAACATTCTTCTGATTGCCCGTAATAGTGATCACACCTTTGGGTCCAGGCATCTTCAATTTGAGATACACATAACATGGTCGGGCCATGAAGCATGCATAAGCCGGCCTGCCCAAAATAGCATGGTAGGCACTCTGGAAGTCTACAACTTCAAATGTCAACTTTTCTTTGCGGTAATTCTTGGAATCACCAAAAACCACATCAAGAGCAATCTGGCCGAGTGATTTAGCCTTCTTCCCAGGAATGACTCCATGGAAACTCATGTTGCTGGCACTGAGTCTGGACATCGGAATGCCCATCCCTTTCAACGTCTCAGCATATAATATGTTCAAACCACTGCCACCATCCATCAGGACTTTGGTCAGTCGAGTGCCTTCAACAACTAGGTCGACCACCAAAGCTTGCCTCCCAGGGGTGGCGATGTGCGTTGGGTGATCGGACCGGTCGAATGTTATGGCAGTCTGAGACCACTTCAGATAACTGGGTGTCGCCGGAGCGATCATATTCACCTCTCGGTTGATAACTTTCAGTCGACTTTTGCTTTCAACATCAGCAAAAATCATTAGAGTGGAATTGACCTGAGGGTATCCGTCGTCACTATCTTCCTTGTCCTTAATTTTGTCCGACTCCTTTTCCTTATCTTTGGGCTGCTTGCCCTGGAACTGCTGGATCAAGAGTCGACACTATCGAGTGGTATGTTTCTGGTAAATGAAATTACCCTCTTCATCTTTCTTGGTGTGGACGAGACATGGCAAATCCAACACATCATTTCCGTCCTGGTCTTTAACTTTCTTGGGGTTCCAAGGTCCTTTAGGTTTCCCTTTAAACTTTCCTTGGGTTACAGCTAAGGCTTCCCCAGGAGCAGCCGACTCGGCTTTCCACTTCTGTTTCTGATTGGGATTTCCTCCTGTTTCTTGGGCGACTGATTTGAGCTTGCCACTCCTGAGTCGATCCTCATCTTCACCATTAGCGTACTTGGTGGCAATCTCCATCATCCAGTTCAGAGACATATCTCGGTTCGACCAAATTTCAGATTCAGTTCTCTGTACTTGACGCCTTCTTTGAAGGCACAGACTGCTTGGTGGTCAGGCACATTCTCTACCGTGTGATGCAACGTGATCCATCTCTGAATGTAATCCCTCAAGATTTCATTCGGCTTCTGCACGCAAGACCGCAGTTCCGTCAGCCCTGCCGGCCTCTTGCATGTTCCTTCAAATGTGGTGACAAACACTCGGGCGAGATCTTCCCAAGTGTAAATGCTGCCGGGTGCTAACTGGTTCAGCCATGCTCTGGCCGAGCCCTCCAACATGAGAGGCAGGTGTTTCATGGCCACTTCATCATTGCCGCCGCCAATCTGGACGACCACTCAGTAGTCTTCAAGCCAAGTATCGGACTTGGACTCGCCAGTGAACTTGCTGACTCCAGTCGCCAACCTGAAGTTGGGAGGAATCACAGCGGCCCTGATGGCTCTACTAAAGCACTCTGGCCCCGAAACATGTGCTCTGCTGCTGGCAGGAGCATCTCTGTCGTGACCTTCCCGGTGAGCTCTGTTCCTGTCGACCAAACCTTGAACGAGAATGGATCTCGCATCAAAGCCTGGCTCCCTAGAGTCGACTGGAATCCTTCGCGCAACACTACGAGGGTGCCTGTCATCCTGTTGTCGAGGCACATACGACCCGCTCCTCGGGGGAGGGGTGGGCACTCGACGTCGATCATCACAATCGAATCGGTGATCATATTGCTCACAGTTCCCATACTGATTACGCCGGTCCCCACGTCCTTCACGCCTCGGGGGCGATCTTGGGCTATGAGCCGACTGGACTATGTCCGCGGCAACGGATCTGCTGTGAATCCCGTTCCCCGACTGAGAAACAACGGAATTCTGGTCTCCTGCTGCCCGGAGTAACGCTTTGATCTGCAGCAAGCCTCTGCCAGCCTCTGACTGGGAAGGCTGAATCGACTCTGCTATACGGGCTGCAGCTGCTAAATTCTGAATCGGAGTTCGATATACCTGCGGGGGCGGGAAGAGCTGACGTCGACTGGATTCGGGAACCCGTTGTCACGCATGCTCGTTGAGTGCTCGCTAGAGGTTCTCCAGTCGAGTGCGCTCGGCCAAGTTTGCAAGGCGCGCGTCTTCCAAGGCACGAGCCTCGGGGGTTTCTCCAACGATAGGAGTGTGCAGTGCATCCATGTTCCGGCGGTGAAGTTCTTCTCTCTGCAGCGACGTGAGAGGCTCGGGAAGATATTCCTCATGGGGACGCGACGGGTCGCCTCCACCCGCGCCTCCGTCGGTGCGGGGAAAACCGAGAGGACTGGGCGGTCCATCGACCATCAGAACCTCCGCCGCCGGATCGCTGCTGTCGCACTCGGATGCGGTCTCTGCGGAGCCAGTCGACAGGTCGAACAGGCCGTAGAGGGATTCGTCGGGCTCGATTGCCGCGACTTGAGGGTGGCCGACTGGTGTGCCACCGCGTGTCTCACCCACCGCTGAAGTCTCGACCGACCGGAGCGCTTGCGCCGGCGGGATACAGGGAGGGAGAACAACATAGGAGCCGACTAGTAGGGGGTCGACGGTTGCCGCAGGAGAACGCCGCGGATGCACGCGCTAAAGTGCGTTGCCCCGCGGACAGGGAGTGCGTCCACGTCGAGCGGAGCCTCCTGAAGCCAAGCGGAGTCGTCGGCGATGAACGTGAGCGCGCCGAGACGGATCTCGTGGCCCTCCACCAAAACTCCACCGAAAACCATGATGATTCGGGTCGGAAAAGATCGCAACTCCTCCAACAAAATGCTAAAACACCTGCCCCACGGTGGGCGCCAACTGTCGTGGTTCTAAGTCTGACAGTAGTGTAGGGGGTAATTATGGAGAGGCAAGATCTTAACTATGTAGAAGTTGTAAGCACGCAAGGTTTACGAGTTCAGGCTCTTCTCGAAAGAAGTAATAGCCCTACGTCTCGGAGCCCGGAGGCGGTCGACTGGATTATGCGTGTATGAATTACAGGGGTGCGAACCCTTGTCTCGGAGGAGGAGGGTGGCTTATATAGAGTGCGCTAGGACCCCAGCCAGCCCACGTTACAAAGGGTTCAATGTACATTAAGGCAGGGCGTTACTGATAACGCTAGTAATAAAGTTATATGATGACCATAAAACTACTTAATAACCGACTGTTAGCATGCGGAGTGCCTTTAGGTCTTCTGACTGTCGAGTGGCTTGGTCTTGGTCGAGTGGTTGCTTCTTGGTCGAGTATCTTCGAGTCTCGACGTCGAGTGGAACACCTACAAGTCGATTGAAAGATGATTTCTTCTGGAGATGTCCTTGGGTAGGTCAGTTTGGACAGGTCCATGCCCCTACCCTAGATAAATAGCTTCATCATGAATCAATGACAATATTCTCAAAAAGAGAACTCATGTCTTGGTGTGGGGCTAGGGCCAACGTCGTCAGTGACAACACCTCTCCTTTTTTTGTATATTGTATAATCCCCGTCTTTCCTCTCCTCTCCTTTTTTTCCTAATCCTTATTAAAAAAAATGAAATCCCTCTTTCTGTCTCTCTCGCTTGCACCGCTCTCCTTCCTCCGCCGCCGCGCCGCCCTACTCGAGCGGAGCGGACGGAGTTCTTCCTCCTTTCGGTAGGCCCTAATCCGCTCCCTCTCCCTTTATCTTGTTCGTCCGCGCCGTGAGTCCTCCTTCTTCTCCGTGTGCATCCGCCACTGCTCTAGTGTTCTTGAGAGCCCTGCTGCTCTAGTGTAGGCTACCGAGATGCATCCGCCCTTGTGTTTGCTGCGATGCCCCTCAAAAACAGCCCTGCTGCTTTGATTGTGATGCCTGTGTTCCTCACGGTAGTTATTTTTTGATGCCATTGTAGTTGGTGCACCACTGTTTGATTTTTTTATAATGAATGTAACTGATTTCCATCCCTCGGGTCTACCGCCGTGCAATTGTTCGCATATGGATTGGGTGAATTTTAGCCTCTCTAGATCCTACAGTCCGTGTCAGGTAGGATTACATTGGAGGGTTGCGTGGTTTCATGGAATTTGTTGCTAACCTCATACCATCTTATATGTTACATTAGATCTTAGGATTATAATTGTCCATCATTGCTTCTCGCGAAAGAAACTCTTCATCTAGAGATCGGTGATATACATGGCAGTTCTTGTTATTGTACCCTTGGTCCTCGCACCACAGAATCTAATAAGTTAGACACTTACTATTTTTGAAATTTTGTTCTGTTTATATGCACAAGATAAAAAGATTGTCCAAAATCGTTAGATATTCTAGAACTCCCTCTGTAAAGAAATATAAGAGATGCCTGCGCAGAATCCTTTACTAACATGAAAATCAAATCCTTGACAGACTGCCTGCCAGAATGCCACCGAAGAAGCGCCTGCACCTGTCGCCCGCTCTTCCCAAGCTGGAAGACTATGTCGAGGAAGCTGCTCCTGCTTTCTCTACCTCTGGCACAGAAGGTAGCAAGGATGGTGAGGACGATGCATACGCATCACATTCTTTGTTCTGTACGGGGTCGTTGAGCGGCTTGCTTATGTTTTGATGGGCTTGGCAGATTCTGAGGAGGAAGTTGGCGACAGCAGCAGCAGCGGCAGGGACAACGAAGACGGTGGCAGCCATTCGTGCAGATTGACGGTGCCAACATGGACGAGTAAGTGATCGGAGTTCTGTTTTTTACTTTTTAGACAGTTTTTCTGTTTTACATGTGTGTTTCCTGCAGTTAATACTAGCTGCTAGGTGCAAATCAGCCCCTCGGTTGCTGTTAGGATCAGTGCAATATCCTGTTAGGAAAGCATTTTGTTCACCTGATAAACTCTATTATCAGATTCTGGAACACATACTTGGTCAACTTAGACCCCTCAGCTGGCTAAATGAATCAAATCGACTCTTCTTCAGCCTGTCAAATATAAGTTTCCAGTGTTAAAGTACTCCTCAGGTGCTAATAGTCCCATTATGAACACTTATATTGTAGCTACATACTTCTTTGAAAAAGGAACTAAAATATCGCAGAACACTTGTAACTGTTCTATTAATTTTTAATCTGTAATTTATATGCCAATCGGTAATTGAAGATGTGATTTTCATGTTAGTCAAGGCTTTTAAATTGTTTATTAATCTTGATCCTTGCAATCAATGCAATTTGTAATCAAGCCTTGTAATTATGTTATTGTGATTGCTTGTTATATCCTATCCACGGAAAAAGCTTATGTCTATGTGTTATATCCTGGACAGAACATTACATCGTTATACTGAGCTGTAGTTTCATCTTTTCTGTTCACAATGAAAAACATTTGTCAGAAAAACAAGCAATAGTTGATTGATTGGACTAAAACCAGATAAGGTTCGTACATGTGTGCTTTCTGCTTCTTCTCCTGTTTTTATTTATTTGAGATGTTGATTGCTTAGAAAAAGAACATACGAACAACCCCCTCCATAAAAAATAGTGCATACTATTACCGTGTTAATATTGAAAAGTTTCCAAATCTGCACACAAAGCTAGCCTCTGTTTTCGCCATGATTGTTCTTCTCCAGCTATATTGGCCATGCAAATTCGTTAAAGTGTCAGATTAGTGAGTTGTCTTTGTTTGTAGTTGTACCTTTGTTTTCATATGGAGGATAATCAACAAAATAGCCTTTCCCTTTGATTTGGTTAGTCACATGTAAATTCACCTCATGCACATCTAATGATATCCATCATCGAATACAATTGTGATGAGAGGGAATAGAGGTGTAGGGGTGTGCGATGATCGATAAGGAGGAAAGTGGGTGAAATTTGATGTTTGTCCCGACATGATAGGTAGCAAAGCTTGCTGAAGGCGAGTCATCATACACGGACAAGAGTCTTGTTTCCACTGCCTCAAGAACCGAATGGTGCACCTTCGTTACTACACAGTAAGACATGTGTTGAAGTTGCCACATGTCCTATATGATTGTCCATACTAAGATGACACCATCCATCGTTGCACGTTGATGGATAATTGCTGGGCACGCACATGAAAATTGTTGCTACATGGTTAAGAACATGTGTCAACCGAATAGAAGTATCACTTGATGAATACTTATAACTAGTCTCTTCAATATACAGAACTGAGTGACACCGCGGGGGGTGGGGGGAGATGCTGACGTTTGTTGCTACACGGGGTTATAACTATATAGTCAAAAAAAATACTTATAACTAGCCTCTTCAATATACAGAACTGAGTGATACCATGTGTATTTTTATGGTTGCTCAAGTCTTGAACTTTGCATGCTAAGCTTAGTGGATACCATGTTTTTGTAGAAACAAGATATTTACAGAGTAGATTTCTCTTCTTGCTTGGATTGTTTCTTATTTATACACTTCCTTATAGTATCTGCTGGAATTGTTGAGTTTTTTGTGTATTGTTCTGCAGCCTAAATATTGTCTAATAATTGGTGTTTTTTGGTTTGCTAGCCCATCCAAAGTGCACATCTTTGTCAAGAATCTCGCCGGCAGGAAAATCTGTCTCAGAGGGGTCCACTTCTCAGACACCGTTTACACCATCAAGGCAAAGATCCAGGAGCAGTACCGCCTCGTCTTCGACAGGGTGCAGCTGGAAGACAGCCGTACATTGGCTGATTATGGCATAAGGCATGATTCCACGCTTGACCTCCAAGAAAAGATGCAAATCTTCGTGACGGAGACGCTGAGAGGAAGGACCATCACTCTCGAGGTCGACAGCCTAGACACCATTGACAAGGTGAAGGCCAAGATCGAAGACATTGAGAGCTTTCCCAAGGTCCAGCAGTGCCTCATCTTTGCCAACAAACAGCTAGAGGACGACAGGCGCACCTTGGCTGACCACAACATTTCGAAAGGGTCCACTCTTCTCTTCATACTCCTCCCGTGTAGGCCAGTAGAAAGTAGGATGATCCAAATCATTGTCAAGTCCCTGGACGGGAAGACCCTGACCCTTGAGGTCGGGAGCTCGGACACCATCAACAGTGTCAAGGTGAAGATCTATGAGAAAGAGTTCATTCCCCCTAGACAGCAGCGCATCCTCTTTGCTGGCGAGCAGCTGGAGGACCAGCGCACCCTGGCGGACTACAAGATTCTGAGCAATTCTACCCTTGTTCTGGTGCTCCGGCTTTGTGGTTGCTGAGCTGCATGGCCTGCCATTCATCAACCAGTTTTATTTTGCTGGAGCGAAGTAGTGGCGCGTTATCAGTAAACTATCATTCTAGTACTATATGTTAGTATAGATATGCTCCGGGATTGTTCCTTCACAGTACAAGTGTGGTGTCTTATCACTTATCAGTAAAACTACGTACTAGTATCATTTAGTAGTATGTTATTAATGTGTTGAGTAATTCTTTTTATCCATCTATCTAGAGGAACTACTATTAAGAGTCCCTGGCTCTGTAGTGTCATCAGTTGATTGAGAATACAGTCTATATGCAGTTTAACCGACAAATAACCTTCTTTCTGTACTCATTTATTTCATTTCTTCATTCATACCCATTGCAATTAATTTCTGTATCCATGTTTTCATCTATATCATCACAGTTTAAAGTTGAAGTGATGAGGATCATAACAGTGTGATTGCATGTTTCTTTTTACAAAGAAGATTTATTATTGCATACTGTAAACCACATGAATGTCACATTGACTCGGAATTTGGACTGCAAATAAGAGTTGGAGTCTAAGTTGTCCTCGTCCTTGCCGTTGGAGGAGAAGGAGGAGGACGGTGGCGTGAAGACAATGATGGGGCGTGGTGTAAGAGCCCTGGAGGAGGACAAGGAGACGTTCGCCGAATAGGCCCCCATTAGCCACCATGGAGCACTGGTGGCATAGGACCTTATGTGGACCATGGTGGGTGACGTGGCATTGGGATTTGGGCTGCAAGCTCTAGGGCTTGAAGGCGGATTGGGATTTAGAGGGCCGATGACGGGGTATTTATAGGAGGGGATGCAAGTGTTACGGCGCCAATGGTTGGGCCATGCGTGCTCTTTTAGAAGGATATGTAGGCTTTAGGGATAAGGACTATTTTTAAAAAATTTGAACAAATAGGGAATAGTTTCAGGGGTAATTCTTTGAGGTGTTTAATATTTGTAGGGAAGGGCTACTTGACTTTTAACTTACAAACCGGTTTGTCAAATGCTCCCCCATGAAAAGTAAAATCAAAATAAATAGTAAAACAATTTATGATTTTTTTATGATAAACTTTGACAAATGTTTTGTATGTTGCAAAATTTTAGCACAAATGACATGCGTGAAAGGCATGGCAAAAAAAATTCAGCACTCCAAAATGTTTTCAAACTAGCATTTTTGGAACATCGATTTTGTTTTTTGACACGACTTCGAAGAATGTCATTTTGTGCTAAAATTTTGCAAGCAAACAAAACATTTGTCTAAGTTTACCACAAAACAATTTCAGAATTTTTGAGTTTTTTACTATTTTTTTTGTTTTACTGTTCATAAGGGAGCATTTGAGCTTGGATGTAGATACCCTATGTCCGCATTAAAAGACAAACAAGTAAGCTAAGGGCATCTCCAGCCGTTGGCCCCCCAGGGGGCGTCTAAAACGCCGCCTGGGGGTGAGCCGGCGAAAAAAATGGCCCTGGGGGCGAGTCGGTCCCCAGCCGTCGGCCCCCAGGCGCGTATCCTAAAAAAAACATAACCGTTCGGCGAATTTATGATAAAAACTAGTTAAATTTCGACCAAACATGGCAAATTTCGGCGAAATTCGGCCAAACATTACATTAACCTAATCTAAAAAAAGAAAGGGGCTGAAGTCATCGCCGTCGTCGCTGCCATCATCGTCGTCGGCCTTCTCCTCCTTGACGCGGGTGCCCCTGCTGGACCCCTGCCCGGCGTCGCCATGGCGAACAGGCGGCGGCGTGTCGTCGTCGTCGTCGCTGTCGCACAAGACGATGACCCCGCCTTCCTCGCGGCCGCGTCGGCGCTCCTCGAAGCGGCGTAGGGCGGCGCACTGGCGCTCCTTCTCCTTCTCGCGGCGCGCCTTCTCCATCGCAATGGAGTCCTGGCGCGCCCATTCGAGGGCCGCGTCGTCGTCGTCGAACTCCGCCTTCGCCGGCGCCAGCCCCGGCTCCGTCTTCACCGGCGCCAGCCCCGGTTCCGTCTTTGGCTTGACGAAGCGCGGAGGAGCCGACGAGGAGGCGCGCCGGCCGCCCTCGTTGATGACGATGTCGGCGCTGCGAGTGCGCCGGCCGAGCGGCGTTTCCGCCGCGGGCTCGGCCTTGACGCCGAGCAGCGCCGGAGAGCCGGAGGAGTGTGAAGAAGAGCGTGACGAGGAGGAAGAAGAGGAGGCGCCGAACCTCCTTGGCGCCCATGGCCCGGCGCGTCGGTGCTGCGCCGGGGCGGCCACCCTCGCCGTGGGGTACGCCAACGGCGGGTCGTTGCCGCCCTCGAGGTACGTGAGCACGACCTCGAGTGTGCGTCCGGGGACGCCCCACCAGACGTGGCGCCCCTCGCTGTTCTGCCGGCCGCCGACCACCGGCGCGCCGTTTGTGGACGCCAAGCGCTGCTGTTGGCGGCGCTCGAAATACGCCGCCCAGGCCGCGTGGTTGTCGGCGGCGTACTGGGGGAGGAAGAGTTCGGCGTCGGTGAGGGACGCGCGCACGATCTCGACCTCCTCGGCGAAGTACTTCGGCTTAGCCACGGCGTCGGGCAACGGGGGAATGGGCACTCCCCCGGCGCTGAGTCTCCACCCCGTCGGCCCGGCGCGCATGTCCGGCGGCGCCGGGATGTTCCCCTGGAACAGGAGCCAGGGCTCCTGTTCACGGAGCGAACGGCGGCCGAAGCCGTTGGCCGCCGCCTCATCTCCGGGGAAGCGTTCTGCCATGGCGAAGGCGGGGCTGGGCGGGCTCGGGAGAGGTAGAGGGAGGGGCTGGACGGCGGCGAGGGGCGGGGCTGGTGTGGGCACAAGCGAGTGGAGGCCGCCGGCTTTTATAGCCGGGCCGCGCCCGTGTGTACGCGTGCGAGGGAGGGGAGGCGTCGGCGCGCCGTCCCGCGACGCGCCGCCCGTGAGGAATCAATGGCAAGGCTGATCGGCGGCAGCCTTGCCATTGATTCCCCGCGGGAACCGAGGCCGTTGGGGAAGACGAGGCGCCGAGTCGCTGACGCGGCTGGCCCACGTCTTTTTCGCGCCAAAACAGCTCGCCCCGGCGCCCCCGGGCGCCCCCCAGCGTGCCGGGTTCGGCCTGGGTCCGCCGGCGCTGTTTTTCTGGGGGCACGACTGGGCCATTTTTTCGGCGCCGGCGCGAAAAAATCGCTTGGGGAGGCCTTCCTGGAGACGCGGCTGGAGATGCCCTAACAAGGCAGCTCTTTATAACTTCTCGGGAGTATATTTTCTGCTAACTTTCCCTGATAGCTGAAATACGTAGTAAGTTGTCAGAAATCCAAATCAGCTCTATGGAGCATATGCTCTTGCCCACCAAAATGGTTTTTGCAAATGTCCATTTAAAAAAATAACAGATATATTTATTGTCATGCCAAAATGCTATCTGCAAATTTTTACGAGGAAAGAGTATTTTGATCTATGCAAAAAAAAGTCAAACGACAAATGCTACACTTAGGCCTCGTTCGGATCCTCTCCTGCTCCCACCTTCTAGTCTCAGCGCGTGGAGTCGTCCCGAACGCGGCAACTCCAAGAATCTTGCTTCGCGGAGCAAACGACCCTGCCAGTGAAAAAACAAGAAGCTAGTCCAACCCAGCTCCCAGCTTCCAGCTCAAAACGAGAAGTTGGAGTTCCAGCTCAAAACGAGAAGTTGCGTACCGGTTCGATCTATTTCCTCCTGAGCTCCTGTACGAGCCAGCGAGTAGACGTGGGCGCTTCCACACCTTTCACTCCGAACTGGGCCGGCAGCCCATCACCTTCTGCGTTCCCTAACAGCCCATGTCCTTGTAGCCCAGCGCCAGCCCATGCAGCGAAGGGAGAAGCTGGTCACAGCCTCCCGAACGCACGCAGGATCTCACAAGAAGCTGGAAGCTGGCGTTGGAACCTGGAGACGTGGATTTTCTAAATCTGGAGGACTTCTGAACGGGGCCTTATTTGTTTTTCACCGATGAAGCACAATCATCCTGTTTCACATGAAAATTGTCAAGCACGGTTGTTACACTAACAAGAACATGTACAAAAATCAGAATTTTTAAATTTTATTTAGTTTTTTTACACAGTACAAATGTAAGCGCTCATATACACGCGCATACAGTCACTCCATGAACGCAACACGCACACCCTACCCCTATGAGCACCTCCGAAAGACAGCCGACATATCATTTTGAAATTTACGAAGTCACCGTAGGCATCTCGTCGTCGATTCATTAGGGAGCATATCCACTCCAGAGCTCCGTTGCCGGCAGCTCCGCCGGAGGAAGGGCGCGTCCCTCCTGGAGTGGGCCTCGAGGTGGGGCCCTTCAACATGCCGGATTGGGAGGAGATTCAAGCGAGATCGAAGCGAATCGTGCCGCGGGTGACAGATCGGACACAATGCCTGGAGTTGTCTAGAAGGAGAGTAAAGGAGATTGCCAGCACCTTGGCAGGTGAGATCCCTTCGATTCTACATAGGGAAAGCTCGATCGGATCGAGTAGGGCCGTGATTTCCGCTGATTTGGAGGGGGGCGCCTCCGAGGGACCTGCCATGTTTTCCTTTCACGATTTGAAGGCGGAGCCAGCATTGGTAGATTCTTTAACTGACATAGATTTTGGTAAGAGTAATTAGTGGGGGATGGCCAAGGCTATGTATACCTCGCTGGAAGCTGACGTTTTTTATTCAAACGGGGATAAGAGAGTGATTTCCGCTGTAATTATTAGGAAACGGCATATTCATGGCCTTCCGATTTTTGTTAAGAGCATCAATTTCGCATTAGAGGCTGTGAGGAAGGGGATTTTGGGGTGCTCTATTAGTGGGATGGGGGAGTTTCCTGGTCTTCAAACTGCTTGCCCGTAATTCGCTCATTCTTCAAACGGATTTCTGTTCTTTAAACTCTGTTGAATAAGTTGAATTGCAATTGCTTGGTGATTAAGGACATAGGTTGTTGAGTTTAAAGAGAGTTCATTGTTTGAACCTTAACATGTGAATTGGTTGCCACTATAACATTAAAAGATTTATAAGAAAGAATTGTTGTTATGATGCTAGG